TGGGTTTGGAGTACCATACTTGAATACTTTTTCGGGTACCCGTTCCTTAAAGGGACCATTATGAAATATAAACGTCTGTACTTGTTTCTCCCTAGTTACTACAAAGTCCAGTTATGGGGTGTTTTGGGTTTAGGGTTTGGGCCTCCAGGCATGGCCAGGTGCATGGTAGTCTCAGCAGCGACATAAGGGTGGTTGTCAAAATTATGGCCCCTTTTTGAGTACCCTAAGTAATCGGCGCCGTTTTGTAATAATGAGCCAAAAAGGGACTCTAATCTTGACAGACACCCACATATGTCCATGTCCTTGGCCATCTGCATCGACATGGTAAGCATCGTCATTCTCACCCTCATCAACTCATCTCTACCATGCCAGCAAGAGCACCAAAGTTACCGCGAAAAGGGCTCCCAGGCACACCACCAACTTGCGGCGGACCATAATCATAATCTACTCATTGTACTCTGAAAGCCAACTACTCTTTGCTTTGACAGTGTACTGTTTACGCAACAAGGATGGTTTGGGGCGTATGTACGTTTAAGCAGCGTTCCTGCTTCGAGGACGCTAAGCCCCAGACCCCAACTCTAAACGAACCCTTCCTTCCTACCCGATCAAAACATGCCATCAACAGAAAGCAAAGGTGCGCTTTGACTTCCGGCGGAGCGGCTTTGCAACATCCTCGGTCAATTTTCGTCTAAACTACTCAGTCGTACGTGTCTGTTACAGATGACACGCAGATACATAGACTGTACGTCGGACTAGCAGACTGGCTTTTGAACCTATTTGCTGTTCTGTGTTCTCCCTGAACAAGTTACTTTGACTTGGGGCTTTTCTTGCGCAAGGGCCTGCAGGTCTGACTTCCATAGGCATGGTTGTCGTTGTAGGAGGACGGATGCGAGGATCAGGAATTGCTATTCTAGAAGTCGGAGTATTTAATACAAAGGTCCCCTTATAGCCCTTGTAGAAGTATGGACTCGATGTAGCCCGAAACCCTATTCTAATTATGAAGGTCCTGCTATGACTTCTTGTCAGCAATGTCTGCCTGTGCCGGCGTGGTCTTCCTCAGCCTCGAACACAGCTGATTGGGCATCAGCTTTTTAGGTAAGGTTACCCTAAACCCTAAACCCTAAACCCTAAACCCCTAAACCCTGAACCCTGAACCCTGAACCCTAAACCCTAAACCCTAAACCCTAAACCCCTAAACCCTAAACCCTAAACCCTAAACCCTAAACCGACCGACCGCTGAATCGCCGAAGCCTCAAATCTCTACATCCTTCGCAGGAACCTTGCGGAAGCCCAGGAACCTGTATAGAGCCCTTTAAGGAACCCGCTGACAAGTGTGGCTTCTGGCTTTAGACTTAGGCCTCAGGTTCGCTGATACCGAACCCCTTGTCCATCAGGGTTTGGGAATTAGGGTTTGGGGTTTGGGACTTAGGGTTGAGGGTTTAGGATTTAGGGTTTAGGGGATAGGGTTGAGGATTTAGGGTTTAGGGGATAGGGTTGAGGATTTAGGGTTTAGGGGATAGGGGATAGTTGCACGAAGTTTTCCGTCAACCCTAAACTCCGGCCCAAAAGGAGCGCTTGAAGGATCCTTAAAGGAACCCTCCAAGGCGCCCCTAAAGGGATCCTTTCAGGAGCCCTTCAAGGAACCCTAGAGGATCCCCTACAGGATCTAATATAGTAGGGGCTTAAAATACTTAAATACTATTTGGGGGCTCCTCATTGTAATTACACTATAATGGGTGCCAAAATCCTATTCTAATTGCTAAGGCCCCTGTATTAAACAGGCACCCGTAAGGAGCCCTTAAAGGAAGCCTAAATCCTTTCGACTCAGGTGGCCAAGGACTTGAACATTTTTCTCACAGCGACCGACATGCCCGGGCCTTTGGGGGCTTTGACGTGCTTTGAGCTTGGGGCTTAAAGATTCGGGTCTTGGGTCTGGGGGCCAAGGGTTTATGGTTTGGCCGGGCTTCATGGGTTTGAGGCCGTGTAAGCAAATTGGGTCGAACATTTAGGGGGCTCAGGGTTTCAAGGTTCCGGTCGGAGGATGTCGAGAAGGGTCTCGTGACAGGTTCTTGTGGGCCGCTAGATACATCTACCGCACCAAAACAGACTCGTTGGAGGTTTACAGCGGCTTGTCTTTGATACTGTGATGATCAAGACAAGTTTTAAGCCCCATAATCTTCGAGCCTCAACCGTAACCCCTTGAAACCCAACACAAAGCCCTACACACCAATCAAAATCCCAAATCCCGCAACCCTACAAACTGCACGCTCAAAGCCCTCAAGCACTCAACACCCCAAGCTCTAGCAACCTTATGGACTTAAATACCGCTCAAAAGCTACTCCTCAAACTCCATACTAAACCACACAAAGGCGTCCAAAAGCCTTGGCATCCTCATCACTACAGAGCCCTAGGCCTCTTAGCCCTGCACCAAGCAAAGCCTACAGCAGCGGGGCTCAGGTTCCCCACGACACTAGAGATCGTCTTGCACGTTCTGTGGGTGCCATGGCTCCGAATGAGGGTTCCGGACCCTAAACCCTGAACCCTAAACCGTTCCAGGGTGTTGACTTTGGCTTGAGGAGTGTAGGGCTTAGCGTTCAGGGTGTGGGTCAGCCCTAACCGTCAGCCCTAAACCCGATTTCAGGGTTCAGGTTTCAGATTCTGGGTTATTAACAGACAGCGATGGAGATCGTGGAGCTCAGATGATTGAAAGATCCTGGTTCTGAGCGTGTCATAAAGATCCTTAAGGGGGGTAGGGGGGCTAGAGGGCCTTAGTAAGGACGTGATGAGGATGAGGGTAGTCCAATATCCGCCCCATACCCCATAAAGGTTCCTTTTGAGGATGCTCATGCGTGCTTGGCTGTTGCCCTTGCTACTAGTATGTGTAGCCGGACTTTCACTTCTTGTACATGTAAGTCTGCACATATGTTTACAAGTAGCTTGACTGACTGGTGTCCCCTTAAACATCTTCAACCTGCACCCTAAAGCTTCGCTCCTCAACCCTGAACTAAACCCTAAACACTCATACCCAAGCCCAGACAGATGCTGCTGTACTATCATAAACATCACTTCGCGACTCTACCACTATACTACTATACTACCACATTTATCCTGACTTTGCTGACTATACTGACTATACTGACAAATCTGACTACTGACTATGCTGCCGAAACTGCCGTACTGCTCAACCTGAAACCACGCCAGCACCTCAGGCGTTGATGCTCTTTAGCTTGCTCTTCTCACAGAGCTTCAAGGTGCCTCCCCCTGCCCCGCCCCGGCGCCGCTCCGTGTTTGGGGTTTGGGTCAGTGTTTACTGAACATTTTTGTGAGTTCACCGCTCTGGGTTTAAACGTGTAGGTATGGTCGATCTTCTGGCTTTCAGATAGTGTCGCCAGAGAGTCTTGTTCAAAGTCCTGCTTCTTGTTTAGGGTACCCGGAGCCCGAAGCGCGACCTAAGCCCAGGCAGCCCAGGTTCCAGAAAGTCTTATCCTTGAGTCGTGCATCCTCCGACCTTGCCGAGGGTAAGGGTGCACGACCTCTCAGGCTCTTGAGTACGTTTTACTTGTTGCTTGAAGGTCCAAGAATACACTATATGGGTACATGGACCCTTAGGGAGGTGCTTTTCGGCACTGGCGCTTTGGAGTATGAGGTCCAACTCGTGCGTGTAACTATAGCCTCCATTGCAGTTCCTGATGGGATCCTAAGTAGTTCAGAGGAACGACCTACCATGGAGTATACAAGTAGTTCTTCCGTCATGATTTTCCCGATTCTCTAAACTTCAATCTCCACAACACAGGGGCCCTGATTGATGAGTAATGTCCTATAGCCTTCCCAAATGTATAGGGGCTACTTGTAGTGTTAAGCTACAACAGCCTGGGCTAAGTACTTTGTCTTCGCTGTTGATAGTCGTGCTGTGATCTCTCCAGGTGCCCCGACAGCCCACCTTGCACTAGTCGCGAGAGTGTGACTTCGCGCCGGCCGTTGCAACAGCTTCTTTAAAGTTACAGAGAGGAGGTACTCCTCTGGACACAGTCATGCAAAGCATGCTGGCAATGCATCATGAGTCATGAGCAACGACGTGATCCCGAAGCCCAAAGCCCTAGACTCTCCTGATGCTGTGAGAGACTCGGGAGCTACACTATACTGCGCATGACCAACAATTTCTAGCTGGATCTACACAGATTGACGCGTCCGACTGCCTAAAGCCCAACGCCATATCGTTGCCTCGTCGCCCTGCACCCCACCCCCCCTCACCCCGCAGCCATAGACTCACCTCACCCGTAGTGACATGATATCTAGGCACGCACATGGGCTGCTGCACTACCAGGCCTATTTTTTAGGGTGCATGCTGTGTCTGCTCACATACGTACCATGAACCACAACTAACATTCCAAGTCTTCCAACGGCAAGTGCGGCCGTGCCATGGGCTCGTCCGCAGAGGAAGGAAAAGGGCTTGTCGCTGCGGCGGACGAGACACCGTTGCACCATCAGCACTGTGCTTAGCTGTCTTGCCGCGTGAAGAATCTTGCACTTGCAAGGTGTCAGGCATCAAAGCGAGTTGACAAGCATAAAGGCTTTGCTCCCTACAAGGCTGACGGCTTCACTGATCCTCAACCAAGCTCTAAGCCGTTCGTTTCTTGCAGAGTCCATCAGGCTGCGAAGGGTGCGATGATGCTTTCATGTTTACTGATGTTTGAGAGGGTTTTCTTTGTGGGAGCTGTTTCGCAGGTACACTTCGCAAGCCTCAACCCGAGCTCCCCGAAGCCCTTAAACCCTGAACCCCTACATGTAACGATGTCCTTGAACCCCTAAACCCAAAACCCCTAAGCATCAAACCCATGTAATCCGTAAACCACTAAATCGCATCCAAACCCTGGAAAACCCTAAGCCCAAAACCATCCTAAACTCCACCCAAAACCCCACCTGAACTTCTAAACCTTCCACACTGCCCTCAGCCCAAAGCGAGGCCCGAGATCCGTCGAGGGGGGCTGGCGTGCTGCGGCATGCGCCCAAAGGCAGCAGAAGCAGATGCTGCGGCAGAGGCCGGTGAGGTGGCTAAGGGTTTCCGGATTAAGGTTATTAGTACCCATAGGCCCCAAAGTAGTTCCTTTTTCGGGATTACCTTATAGGATTCTATATACGAACCCCAAAAAGGAACTACTTTGGGGCCTTAGGGTAATTAGGAGTTTAGATTTAGGGCCCTTTAAGGTTTAGGCGTGCCGGGGTTTGGGGTCAGTCTGGGCTTAGCTTTTTCATCCTTTTGAACTGTGGTGCTTTTTTGCAGTAAACATGTAAACGGTGTATTTATGAGGCTTAAGAAGGGCTGTAGCGGTCTATAAGGGCTTTTATTGGCAGTAACAGCGTTCATGTCGGGGCTTATGAACAATCCTGATTGGAAGGGCTCCTCAACTTTAAAACTTTGAACTAGGCACCCATCGTCTGAAGAACTCCCTAGAAACCAGTTAGCGGGGGACAAATCTCATGAAGCCCTTGCATAAGAACTATTGTATTAAATTCGTATAAGAACTAGTATCATAATCAGTATAAGACTTAGTCTAACAATCAGTATACTGACGAGTGCTCTACCACCAGAAAAGCAGCCCCCCACTTCGGTCCTGAATGTCCATGCAGGGAGAGGAGGCAGACTCGAAGGGCCCGAAGAAGGTCATCTGGGACACGGCGGACCTTACGCAACTGGGCCGCACCCGGGTCACTGCAGAGGTCGTGGCGCGGGTTGGGTCTGGCTGGCTTTCGGGGTCCTACTGTGCTGCAGTGTAACATAGTGTAACGTAATGTAATGTGTAGTGTAGTGTAATGCAACGCGCTACAGCGTAACGTGCATAGTTCGCTTGTGTTCCTATTACTATATACTGATGCTTCTTGTGGCCAAGGGTGCTGTGCTGCGCATTGAAGTCAGGTGGTGGGACTTCTACAAGCGACGCTGGACAACGCTGTGGCTCATGAAAAACGTGTACACGCGTTACAAAACCGTGCTGGAGCACCTTCGGGGGCGCAGCAGGGCACGTAAAGGATCAGAGGCCTTAGGAAGCTACATGTCAGAGGGGGGTGAATGGGGTGAATTTCGAGAATCCTGTGGTCCTTCGATAGACGGGCAATTGTGCAACAGGGAACCATCGACTCTTCGTCATCGTAGGCACAAGCTTCTAGTTTCGACTTGAAACCGTACTTGCACAGGATTTCCGGGGTGGATCCAATGAGCATATACCTGGACCCCACAGTACGCAGAGTAACAGCCTTTTATAGGTATTGGGCCATTGTTTTGCCTAGTTACTTTGGAGGGTTTCGGTAAGGAGATTCGGATTTCTATACAGTCCTTAACACGGGGCATGATATGAAGTCCTTTGTGATATAAAAGCGATATTCCTGAGATCCCGCGAAGCAGCCCAACGTAGTTGGGGAATATTCTTCAATTGCAAGGTAGTGGGCTATGTGTTTGAAGGATTTCCTCTTTTTAGGGTTTCACGCTTCTTGCAGAAAGGGTTTGTCCTACATAATACCATAGGGGTATGAATACTTAAGTCGGGATTTGGAGCATATGATACTATCACCATAATGGGGAACCCGAACGAAAAGCCTTATTATTATTGTTTCTATAGTAGCTTACAAACCCTAAACCCAAACTTACCGGCCAAGGCTCTTGAAATCTCAGTAAAGCCGTATAGAACAGGGGAAGGTTTTGTTGGGATACACTCCAGAGTGAAATGACAACTCGAAGGGAGTACTGCTTCTCATTTTTTCGATTCCTACATATAGAAACCCGAAACCCTAGTTTTTCCGTGCGAGGAGCAGACAGAGGGCTTGCCCGAGGGACCACAGCGCGAGGCGATTTGGCAGGTGGCTGGGCTCGGTTTCTCATGGTTTCTCATCGGCAGTGCTTCTTTTTTCCTGCGGGGCGGTAGGGGGGAGAGTCGGCAGGGCCAGGTTCAGGGTTGTTATAATGTTGTTAGTTGTCGAGCGACCGAAACAGCTTGTCAGCTTCAGAAAATTTGCGTTCTGTGGACTGTTATCAGTCATATCTCGCTTCTTTCGGTGGATGTTGCTACCTCGACATCCTGCAGCATTTGGGTGCTATGCTCCTGATTGCACCCACTGCAGCACTGCTAGAGACCACGCCAGATTCCACACTATCATCCCCATCCAATTTTGAGTATTATTTGCATATACATACAAATATGTATAAATAAATAAACAGATAAATCTATATGTATATATATGCAAATACACACACAACTATATATATATATATATATGTGTATACACACACAGAAAGGAATACAAGTATGTGGTCTTTTCATAGACATAGATAGAGACTTCCAATGCTCCTGCAAGCCCAATTAATGGAATGTTTAGGCTGCTGCAGTCCTTGCAGAACCTGAAGACATGAAGCTTACCAGTTTGGGGCGTTTGGGGTTTCGGCTTTAGGGTGGTTGGGCTGAAAAGCTTTGCACCATTAAACCAGAAAGCCGTCTACAAGCGCCAGGACTCCTGAAGTTTCAGCCATGCAGTTTAATATTGGGTTGGGCCCAGAATCAGGAGCAATTCACCCATAGTTATCATACCGAGAGTGAGTAGTAATCATCAAACCATTGAATCAGTTCACCATTTCACCAAACAGATTGCATCTGTGGGAGGGTGTTTTCAGCTGCAGCTGTGCCCACAAATTACAGGAGTGCCACGCGATTAGCGCCGTGGAGCTGAAGCGCCATGCGGCGCCCTTCTTGCAATTACTTGGCTCAGCAGAAGAGCAGAAGCGGCGGCTTCGGGAATCAAGAATGCAATTGTAAAACCCTGAATCCTAAGCTCCATTTATCCCTCTGCAGTACAACTCAGATATGGGAGTTGCAGCAAACATTGGAACCAACATAGTACAGAAAAGTATACTAGTCGGATCCTGTTATTGGTTGCTATCATGTTTAAATCTATTGTAGCAGTAGTAGTAGTAGTAGTAGTAGTAGTAGTAGTAGTAGTAGTAGTAGTAGTAGTAGTAGTAGTAGTAGTAGTAGAAGTAGTAGTAGTAGTAGGAGGAGGAGGAGGAGGAGGAGTAGGAGGAGTAGCAGTAGGAGTAGTAGTAGCAGTAGTAGGAGAAGTAGTAGTAGTAGTAGTAGTAGTAGTAGTAGTAGTAGTAGTAGTAGTAGTAGTAGTAGTAGTAGTAGGTAGTAGTAGTAGTAGTAGTAGTAGGAGTAGTAGGAGTAGTAGTAGTAGTAGTAGCAGCAGCAGCAGTAGTAGTAGTAGCAGTAGTAGTAGTAGTAGTAGTAGTCGGAGTAGTAGTGGTAGTAGTGCTATTGCAATTATTGTTGTTGCTATTGCTATTTGCAGTTGGCTATTTGCTACTTGCTGGTGTTATTGTTGCTTATTTGTTATGGTTTCTACAACTGTTATTGTTACTGTCATTTGTGTTTGTATTTGTTGGTATTTTTTCCTATTATTTTCAAACTCTTATTCTTATTATGTTTCTTCCTCTTCTCATTTCTCGTGTTTGTGTTTTGGTTATGTTTTTTTGATTACTGCGTGGCAGCTTCAGGGTTGGATCCGCATCAAGGACAGCAAGGACTAACATAGGTGCCGCACACGTAATGATTACCCATACTATTTGGGGGGTTCCTTATTGTAGTTATAGTATAATATACCCCCAAACCCTATTCTAATTATTGAGGCCCCTACAATAAACCCTGAAGCTGCGAAGCTACGCCCCCGAACACAAAGAGAAACAGCTTAGAGGATCAAGGCACGTAGTATGTAAGGTTACAAGTACCCCAATTTGTTGCTTAGTTGTGGTTATTTGCAACTTTTACAATATTTCGTTGCCTTATTCATAACCCTAGTTGCTAAGTCACATGACGCTCTGCGGGTAACCCCAACTAGAGTTGCCTACATTACTATGTGTAATTATACTGTAGTATACCCCAAAACCACTTCAAGCTAGTAGGCCTCCAAGCGATACCCTAAACCCTAAACCCTCATGTCCGTTAAGTATATAATAAAGACCTATGATCCCGTAAGTAACCCCCACCACAGTAGCCTAAATTCTATGTAGTTATACTGTCGTAACTGTAGGATTTCCCAAAACATATCCCTAAGCCCCTTTGGGAGTTTCCAAGAAATTAGGGGTATCTCATTTTGGGGTCCTGTTTATAAGGATCCAATTTATTGTGCCATATTAGGGCCCCCTGTTTGCGGAACCAATCCTAAACCCTAAAGCCCCTAAACCCCGAAACCCGGACCCCCTGAACCCCTAAACCCCTGAACCCCTGAACTCTGAACTGAACCCCTGAACCCTGAACCCCTAAACCCCTAAACCCTAAACCCCTAAACCCCTAAATCCCTGAACCCTAAACCCTAGAGAGCTCAGGAGGAGGCGAAAGGCCTCTTCATCAAGGCCGGTCAGGTCATGAGTGCCATGGTCGGCACCCTTCCGGATGCCTTTACTCAGGAGCTGCGGGCGGAGGGGCTCTGGGTATCGGGGTTTTTGGCGTATGGGGTTTAGGATGCTAGGTTTCGGGCAAAATGATTTTATCAATATTGCTCGTGGCTACATACTCGTAGTGTCCCGCGCCCAAGTTGTTGCGTAACCCTAAACCCCTAAGCCCTAAACCCTGGTTGCTTAGGGTCGTTTGGGGCAGCAAACAGTTGTAGGCGGCTCCAACTGTTTGGCACGAAACCCTCTTTAGCCAAAGCTCCCGAATAGTAGGCTCATTGCAGACTGTTCACTGTCTCCTGCTGCTGCTGCGGCCTAGACTCCGCTGCCGAGGAGTTCTTGTCTCTGACAGACCACCTGCCCGTGAGCACCGTCCAGGAGGTCTATCGCACGATACAGCGGACCTTTCACCAAGCTCCCAAGGACGGCGAGGGGGTTTTGGTGCTTTAGGCCTTTTCGGGATTTAGGTTCTGCAGGGCTATGACATTCAGCGCTAGGACTCAGGACTGAAACCGTTACTGAAACTTATCGCACAAGGAAAGTCAAGCCAACCGCTTCCAAGCGTGATCTACAGTCAATCTTCAGGCCTCAGCAGCCAATCCCGAACCCTGAACCCCCCAAACCCTAAACCCTTTTTCGGGCAATGAAAGAAGGAGCTCAAAAAAAACGATCCCTAAACCCTGCCAGACCCTTCTGTCCAACTTTCGTCCAGGGGTTTCCTCTAGATTGGGGGCTCCTTCCATTCAGGAACGACGTAGCGAGGCCCAGCGCCCTAAAGCTGAAGCCCCAATCCCGTAGACCATACCGAACCAGCCAAAGCTCTTCAGAATCACCCACTCGAAGCCCACTGAAACTCTTGACACTATGGCACTATGGAGTCCCTGCACTCTCCAAAACCACATAGCATGCTGTCCTAACCCTTGAAACCAAGCCAAAAAGATCCTTACCCGTTCCTGCAAGGACATCTTCTGCGAGTTCGACCCAGAGCCCTTGGCGTCAGCTTCCATCGCGCAGGTCCATCGAGCACGGCTGAGGGCCACGAAGCTTGGCTGATAGGTTTCGGTTTAGGGGTTTAGGATTGAGGGTTCAAGTTTCAATGGAGCTTAAGGGATTCCGATCCAGGGTTCGGGCTTGGAGGTTTGGGCTTAGGGTTTACCTGGACCCCAAACGTATGTAGAATAATAGCCTTTTATAGGTTTTGGGCCATTATTTTACCTACTTTGGGGGGCATAGGTAGGGTTTTAGGGTTGACAGTATCTGGAGCGGGTGATTACTGCCACAATTGGCCCGGCGATCAAGCAGTCAACCGTTTCGGGCCAGAGGCGGCTCGGCGGCTCGTGTAGATTAGGGTCGGAACTACTCGTATCACAAGCCACTGGTAGGCTCCCCTTATACTCCCCATGATGGGTATAGTATAAGCTCACACCGAAATTTGACTGACTATGTATATATGACATATTGGTCAGCTATCAAGGCCCCTCTAGTCTCTTGTTCTGTTGTTGGGAGGGCGGCGGTTAGGTAAGCTGGGTCCGGCTTGATTGGGTTTGTTGGATTTGGATCGAGCTTCTGGACTTTGAGCAGCTCTGAGTGTAAAGAGCAGCCTTGAACAGCCCATCCTATTCATAAAGCCCACAAGAACGCTATGAACATGTACAACTCTATTGTAAAAGGCTCTAAAGCAGTCACGAAAACCTCTAGAGCCAAGTTAAACTTGAGGTATCAGCACCTTTCAAACCATGCTAGGATTCAAAGTTGAACGGATGAAAGTTCTTTATGAGCTGTATGACGTTGTGCTGAGGAAGAAGATCGTGGCGGTGAAGGCAGGACGGAACGGCTCTTATACGGTAAGGGTATAAAAAACGTTGCACTGCAATGTGGGGTTTGGGTGTAGGGCTTCGCGCAGGGCCTAAACCCGAACACATATATCCCTGAAACTTCACCCCACGGACGTTTCGAACGTGCGATCCTGTCATCCTTAGACCCGATGCCTGACTGTCGTATGCTTTAAGGTTTAGGGTTTAGCGCTTCTTTTTTCGTCTTTGTAGCTTGGTGGTGCACCTCTCAGAAATCCTGCGCAGCTTCGTGCTCCGTGCTCCCTCCATCCGAGGGTCCGAGATCTTGACAAGTCTATATTCTCTATTGTTTGTGACGCCCCATATGGCCCTATGGTCTTAAGCTGCCAGATCTACAGAGTCCACGCCCTGACTATAGATCCCCAGAGCAGTGAAGCCCAAACTCTATGAAAACTCCCCGGAAGCATCCAGCACTACTCACTGCCCTAAACCCTACAGCTGTAGTAGGCATATGAACTCTAAACCCTGATCCTGATCCATGAGGTACAGCATGACGGCGTAGACCGAATCTTCCTCGAAGACATCGAGACTCTCACAGCCGCGGCTCGCTGGTTTGTGGCGACTTCAGGTTTCGGCGTTTCGTGTTTGTGGTGTACCGGTGCTTAGCTGCTTCGGAGGTGCGTGAGCATGTCTGCTACGGCGGATCTTTTTGCTGACAAAGAGCCAGCCAAGCCAGAAACCCACCGGAATTTTCAGGAGCTGTGGAATTGAATGTATTAAGTAAGCAGAGGTTGTGACCATTAACTAATCCAGCCCCAATTCTATGAATTGCTTCCCCGGTTGTGGCCCGCTCGCTAAATTTCCGGGATCGTTTAAGCAGTCCTTTAGCCCACAAAATCTGGTAGCTCCGACAGCTTGAGCCGTGATTCCTAAACCCTCCACCCACTTGTACTTTCACCCTATACTATACCTACATGGGAACCCCTTTCAAGGCGAAATTATACCATATGAGCAGATAGACACAATAAAAGCCCCGAGTCATCCCTTTAAAACCCTAGAGCGGGCACCCTTGGCCAGAACCCTATGAAACCTCATCGAACTCCCACAACACCCCTGTTTAAGACAAAGAACCACCAAGATTCCAGAAACCCTCAAGGACTTAAAACCCCGAAGCTCCAAAAACTTCAACCCCAAACCCTAACGCCCGATCCCCAAACCCTAAACCCCTGACCCTGAACCCCCAAACCCCAAGCCCCCTCCTAAGGTGGCAGAGCAGTTGGCGGCCTGGTGGCCAGACCTCGACTTCAGGAAGTTCGCGGAGGCGCCCCCTGAGAAACGGAACCCTCAAACGCGCCCTTCAAGGGAGGTTAGGGGTTTAGGGTTCAGGGGTTTAGGGTTTAGGGTTCAGGGGTTTAGGGTTTAGAGTTCAGGGGTTTAGGGTTTAGAGTTTAGGGGTTTAGGGTTTAGAGTTCAGGGGTTTAGGGTTTAGAGTTTAGGGGTTTAGGGTTTAGAGTTTAGGGGTTTAGGGTTTAAGGTGTTCTATAATGGGGTCCCGTGTAAAGGGAGCTGCATGGGGTCCTCTTTGAAGGCACCATGGGGTTCTATAAGGTCCCTTTCAGGGAGACTAGAGAACTCCGTAATGGGGTTCCCTTTGCAGGGCCTGTGGGGTTCAACATTAGGGTTCCCTTTAAGGGTACAATAGGATAGGGTTCTCTTTAAGGGAACCTCAACGGAACCCTCATAAAGGGAGCCCGTGACCGAACCTAAAAGAGAATCCTGAAGGGAGCCTTCGAAAGAACAACGGAGGCGTTAAAGGAGCCCTTACAAAAACTTAGGGTTTAGGGTTGGTTCCCTGCCGATGCTCAAAGTGGCCGATTTTACTTTTCGTAAAAAGGTTGCTAAATTGTTTTCTGACTGACTTGAGTTTTTGTTTTGTAAAGATTCGGTAGTGGTTTGTTGCTTTCTCCTCATGCTTTGTGGGGCTTTGATCTGGAGGTGTAGGGTACGATGGGGGAGGTTCTACAAGGGTGTAATTCATCGCGGCCCCGCATGGAAGAGGCCCGAGCGCCGAGACTTTAGCCCTACACTGTAGGCCCTACACCCTGAAGATGTACTCAGATAACATTATCACCATGTATTCCTTCTATAACTATATTACAAGTATCTTACCCCGAAACCCGGCTCCAATTATTCAGGAGCTATATGTTGCAATCCGGTCAACTGGAGCCGCAAGTGGCCTCCCCGCTCCAAGAATCGAACAAAAAGCAGGAAATTGACATTCATATACCTGATCAGACCCGCACCCCAAGCCCTCAATCCCCAAACGCTCAATCAGCCTTTCCCCAGCCTGAAAAGTACCCTCAAGCCCCGTGGACTTAAGCCCTATGGACGCTGCTGCAAAAAAAGCACCCAGTCCCCACATGCCCTAAACCCCAGGCGCTAGATTCGCAAAACCCCCGAACACTCAGACCGGACCCTTAGCGCAAAAAATGCTGAATTCCGAAGCTTTTTAACTTCCAAGGAAGGGTAGAAGGAGTCCTTGCCCCTTTGCAGCTCTACAACACCAAAGAGCACGTTTTAAACCCACGTAAAGCCTAAAGTCTTGTGCAGCCAGAAAATCCTGAAGAGGAGCGGAGGGTGTCCCTAATCACTGAACAGGCAAATTCAAAGGAGTGGAGGGAGTCCCTCAAACACCTGAGTCCCAATACCTCTACTTAATCCCTAAACCTTAAGCTTGGACCCTAAACCCCCTAAGCCCCTAAACCTCAAACCCCTGAACCGCTAGACCTGCAGAACCAAAACCCTCAAGAGGAAAAACCCGAAACCCCATGAACCCTACACCCTAGCCCTAAACCAAGAGGAATGGAGGGAGTCCCTTCCGCGAGAGCTGGACTTCACTCACGAGCGGACTGCTCTGGAACGTGCCGGGAAAGCGCTGAGAGAGGCGGAGACGGGAATGCCACGAGCTTCCGCTGAGGGGTTCCGTTTTGAGGGTTTCTTTGTACATAGAAAGGATCTAGGCTAAAACAGAGTCTTCTACAAGGGCTCGTGTTGGGGGTTTCCGCAAGAGCTCCTTTGTGAGGCTTCCTTTTAGTGGTTCTATACGGGTTTAAGGTTTGCCGTTTAGGGTTCGTAGAGTTCCGCCCTCTCAGAGCTTCTGTAAGATTTCTATGAGGTTTCATAGGGCTCTTTGGGCTTCTGAACGGGTTTGTTGAGCCCAGGGAGCCTCCAATATACGACTGAATTCAGGAATACCTATAGTCTCCGTTGTAGTTCCTTTTTTTGGTCAACCAGTTTTATGGTTAGGATCCTATAGTATAGTTTTTGGCTAACCAAAGAAAGGAACTACAATGGAGACTGTAGGTAGTTTGAAAGTTCATCGGGGCTGAATGATATGATCCGCTCCTTAATGGAGAGGTATTTGGGCTCTGTGGGAAGGGTGCTATGAGGATTTTTACAAGGGTTTATAATATAAGGTCTCAAAGGGAACTTGGATATAGAGGACACCGTAATCTCGGGTTACATTATGGTACAACGATATACATGGACCTTGAAGAAATAGCATGTTCAATTATTCAGGCCCCTGCATTCAGTGACTTGGCCTAATGGAATTTATTGTTGGAATTTTGTTTAGGTTTACATAGGATTCAGGGGTCCGGGGGCTTGGGATTTGATCATGGGTGTTCGGTACCTGTAGCTTAGGCTTGGTTGTAGGTAGTCCAGTTGTTCTTGTTTGTCTGCGTTTAAGGCGTTTCTTGTCTGGAAATTGTTGTTTTGCAACTTTAGGTTTTGGGGGGTTCGGGTGCAGGGTTTGTTGAATCAGTTTAACCGAGGGGCCTGGTAAGTTGGTAGGCCGTCGGGCTGTGTTTCTACTATAATGGCAAGATACCCCACCTGCGGCACTTCAGAACATCGGTTTATAACGAACAGACTACATGTGTCCACGACCCTTCGAGGAGGATTTCGTGTTTTGGAGTTTTCGAGATGGTGATACGGATTCGGGCTTCGGCTTTAGTTTTAGTGATGAATAAGTGCTTTTCGCTACATGTTGCGTCTGAAGCTTTCAGGTGTAGAGTTAACCCATATATTCCCCATAGTAGTTCCTTTATGAGGTCCATATGTAGAATCCTATACGGTAACCCCAAAGAAGAACTACTATTGGGCCTATGGGTAGATTGTAGGGCTCAGGGCTTAACGTTCAGGTTCGAGGCCTCGATTTGGAGGATCAGGGTCGAAGGTTTCTCGTTCAGGGGTGAGTCTTTGAGATTGGGAGTCTAAGGGCTTAAAGGTGTAGGGAGCGTATCGTTCTGGGTTTCATATAGGGGCCTTAATTATGTTCAATAGTGCTTTGGGGGTTTCTTATCATTTTTATAGTATCGTGGGCCCCACGGTCCTACTCTAATTATCAAGACCCCTATATCCCTAAATCCCTTATAGTACCCTTATAGTATCCCTGAAAGGAGCCGTTTAAAGGAACCCTATTCTAGTTATTTGGGAGTGCACGGTTCTGGGTTTCGGCCCTGCCTGAGGCAGGGAATTGGTGCGTGGTCCCGGAGGCGCGGGCGGAGAGGGGTCAAAGGGTTTAGTTTAGGGTTTAGGGTTTGGGATTTTAGGGTAATTTAAGGTGTTTAGGGATTTAGGGTTCAGGGGTTTAGGGATTTAGGGGTTTAGGATTTAGGGTGTGAAGTTTTGGAGTTCAAGTTTTCTGGGTTGCAGGTCGTAGAGGTCTGTAAAGAGAAAGAAGTGGTGGCCTAGTAATCAGGGACACCATGCCTCTTGCAGAATTTTTTTGTAGGGTCCTATTGCATTCCTAAAAAAACTATATTTCGAATCCTGCATTGCTCTGTAAAGCCCTTGCAGCAACATCATACTGCAGGGTTTCTCGCGGCCGCAGGTGTAGGGTTTAGGTAAAGGCTGATGGCCAAGATACTGCACTGTCTTAACCTTCAGCTGTGGTTATCACCGGAATGCCGGGCTTGTCCATCAGCAGTAGCTCTCTGAGCAACTGAATTTTGCAGGATTTCTGTAGTCCGATCGGTCCATCGGTTTATCATTGATTATTCAGGTTTAGGCTTCAGGGCTTGTGGCCACGATCTGCAATGGCTATGCTGCGTAGTGTAATCTGTATCGTTCTTGCTGGGTTCGCTTGGTTTGCTTACTAACTGGTTTTTAACACCCATGTATTGACCATTAATTGCAACCCCACCAAGGCCTTCTAACGCCCACACGAATGCCGTCGAAAAGCCGGTAGCATCCCATGAAAAGCTTATATAAATCCATCACGTCGCTTTAACAAGGGCCGCTTTTGTTCCCGAGGTTCACCTGAACCTCTGCGGACCCCACGTCTTTGTGATGGCACCTGGGTCGCTGAGTTCTGCGGATTTTTTGGTTAGCATTACATACCCGTCCTAGTATGTATTTGCGCAACAAAAAATACCTTAGAAGCTGCCCCCACCCTGTAATAGTGACTATAAGGATTATATTAGGGCCGTATTATATTCCTATTATACCACTATTACAGGGTGGGGGGCAGCTTCTAAAAAATACCCCAATATCTTCCCTAAACCCTAAACCCTAAACCCTAAACCCTAAACCCTAAACCCTAAACCCCAAACCCCAAAACCCCTAAACCCTAAAGCCCTCAGCCCGAGAACCATTGGCCTGAAAACCCCGAACAGCCCGGAGCTCGAAAAAGCACCAATCCAAGAATCCGAAACCCTTGGCTTGAGAACACCGGAAGGATTTTAAAACATAGGGTTAGAAAGTCTATCTTAACCCATCCCATGGTAGGATACAGGTTTTTTTTTGGGGGGGGGTTTATTCCCTCAACCCGAACGCTGAAGCCTAAAAACCTTCCAGGGCCTTGGGCTTCCGAGTAGGTAGCATTATTAGGGAGACCCCTTAAACCCTTCTGAACCCTACTTCTGGCTCTCTGAAAAGGGGCCTTGTTGAGAGGGTCTATATCCCCAAGGGTCCCCCTAATCCCAACTCCCACCTTGGGCTTCTGAGGAGTTTATTGACGCCGGGCCGATCCTCGACCTGGGGGACGCAAAGTTCTGTGAGGAGAACAAGGCCCCGGCGCACCCTTCAGGACGAACTGAACCCTAAAAGGGTTTACTCTAGGGTTTAGGGTTTTAGTCGAGGTTTCTGTTTAATATTGGGGTTCATAGTCGAAGGTTTTAGGGCTCCTACATTTAGGTGCGGCGCAGCTTCAGGACGAAATGAACCCTATGGGGTTTAAATTGGTTCAAGGCTCATATACTGTATGGGTAGTTCTTTAGATTACTGTTAATTTCAAGGTCCCCTTAAGGGTTTAGGCTTCAGGATTCTTTTCAGGCCTACGGGTTCCTGTGTTGGCACAATGCTTGGAGAATTGAGTTTCTGCATTTGAGGTGGGATTCGCCAGTTTTGCATAGGGTGATATCAGGAATGGGCGGACAGCGTTCAGGTTGATCGGTGCAAAACTGAGCGTCTGCGTCACCAAAACGATGACATGGAAAACCGAGCACCAACCAAAAAGACACAAAATCGAAAGGAACTACACCTCAAAGGGAGCCCCGAACAAGCCTGTCGCACTTCACAGCAGAGCATTCTTGATTCCTAAACCCTGAACCTGAACCCCAGATCTTCATAGAACCCTTGAACAAAGTAAGATCACACCTTAACCCTCAACCCTAGTTTAGAACAACTAATACTAATACTAATACTAATACGAATACGAATACGAATACGAATACGAATACGAATACGAATACTAATACTAATACGAATACTAATACTAATACTAAGACTGCCGCAGCAGGTGGACAAGCACAGAGTCCTTGAGGAGCTCATCCATGCCTTCGGAATCATGGCCCGGGGCCTAAATGGGGGTAATTGTGTTGACTGCCCTATGTGGGAGTTTCCGAAAATAGGGGACCCTAATATGGTACCCTAAATAGTAGGATCCTTACTATAAGGACCCCAAAATAAGGTACCCCCCCAATTTTCGGAAACTCCCATGTATGGGTCCACAAGGGCTTCGCCATTCGGGTTCTTTTTGGGTCTGTTAAACCTGGGCTCCTGTCAAGTTGCATGCAAGGGCCCCAAACAGAGATACAGCACCACAGCGACCACGACCACCACAACGAATACAACCTGCCATGACCACAAGAAAAAGCTTGAGGAGGCCACCAAGAGACCACCAGAAGATCGTGAGGCCAGCCAGAGACCACCAGGAGACCCAAGAATCCCTTCCCCCATTTGCTGGTGCGACCACAAAGCTTCCTGCCGTCTGCCAGCGGGGATTGGGGAGTTACACTGGCAGGATTCAGGAAGACTGCCTTCCCTCAAGTGGCGGAATTCAGGAAGCCCTAAACTGAACCATGAACCCTAAAGCATGCAAAGCCATGAAGCATAGTTCACCCTATCAGCCCTAAGCCAGAAGCCAGTGGAGGCATTCCGGGACGGCATGTTCCATGCGGACCCGCATGCCGGCAATGTGCGGCTGAAGGTGGATGCCAAAGCGCCCGGAGGGGCGAGGCACGATGGGTTATGGTTCAGAGCTTAGGGTTCAGGGCGGCTCGAGTTTGGTTCAGCTAGGAGGCGATCTTGGGGCCTGTGGCAGCGAGATTTTTGTCTACTGTAGACCCTCACTGTGCTTGAATGTGTTGGGCGCGTGCCTCTGTGTGTGTGTGTGTGTGCTTGTGTTACCAAAACATGATCCCTCTTCGACTCTATCAGTAGTGGTCAGCCAACGTGGAACTACATCTGATCTGAGGGTTTGGATAGGCTCTCCACATGTCCCCCGTGCAAGCCATAAGGCCTGGATCCAACCCCAGCCCCCACAAAAACTAACTAAAGCTACCAGAGCCTATTGCTGAATTCAGCAGGGTCTTCGTACAGACCCAACCACAGGATGCGAAGGGACCTCACAGCAGAGCAGCTGAAGGTAAGCCGACTGCCTTGTTACTATATCCAACTCTTCGGGTCCATCCCCTCCAAAACCCAAAATCCTACCCAAAGCCCCAAACCCCTAAACTCCCAAACCCCCAAACCCCTAAACCCCCAAACCCCTAAACCCCGAAACCCTAAACCCCTAACCCCACAACCCTTTAAACCCCTCAAAACCTAAACTCCTAAACCCTAAACACTAGATTCATAGAGTAAAAAATTTAGACCAGGCCGGTTCTTCTGGACTGGGGGCTCATCCGTGAGATCACCGATGAGGAACGCTTGGGTCTGGCAAAGGCAGGACTGCTTCAACCCAAAGGGTTTAGGGTTTAGGGATCAAGCCCAAAAAAGCCCAAAACCCTACAGTTTAGGGAAGTTCAGGGTTTTAGCTTAACCTCCCGTCATTCTCTTTGGACTCGCTTGGGGCTACAAGTCCATTGCTCCTTTCTGCGAAGTAGGACCAGGAGCCTCTCTACATATGTTTTAGCGCTTTAGGGTCTACAGGTGATCTGAGATGGAGGAGAGAGTCTCCTCAGTGCTGCCAGTGGGTTTTCGGTTGGGTTTAGGTTTTGAGGACGCTCTTGCAGATGGACTTTGCAAGAAGCAGTCTCAGCAGGGAGGGGGGTCATTCGTCAGCCGTGTACATTACTGAAGAGTTTTGTCGGTAAGGATGGCCACTCGCTTGTTTGTTTGTTTGTTTGTTTCGTCATGGGGAAGCTTCGCTGTTCAGGATCTAGGTTCATGACCAATTTCAGGGGTTTTCATGTGCAGCCATTTTTTTGAGGCGGAATCAGGGGTTCAAGGAAGCGGGTGCGAGCCGTTGGTGCAGGTGTTTCATTCCCTCGCCAACTTTGACATAGCTGGGCTTTTCGACGTTCTCGAGTCTCTGGGCTTCAGTCTGAAATCAGAGCTTGTGAACGACACCTTCAAGCGCGACCTCATTGATGCCTGGATGCTTCTCAGAAAGCTTTTTCATGCGGCTTTCGAAGAATCTCATGACTCCTAAACCTATTTCAGCCTAAACTCTACTGTAAACGCCATGTGCCCTATACCTGAGATCAACCTCTGAAGCAATCGAGGACAAAGCCCGGGGTGTGGTGAAAGACACCGTCAACAAGCACAAGACGCGCGAGAATGCAAAGGAGCTGTGTTACGGTTGATCTGGACCTCAAACCAAGCTTCCTTTGTAGGACTCCTAATCAGGATGTCCTTGTACAAGTCTTGAAACAGTGAGCCATTTGAGTGTCCAGGTAGGATGTGGGTTTCGGTGTCTAGGGTTTCAGCAGGAGCTGTGGTTCGGGCTGGGAAGGTTGAGAACATACCCTGATTCTGGTTATGCTCTTGGAGTACTACTTCGATCAATGTTGCAAGTGTGACGACCAAGATCGACAAATGCTACCTGCTACCAGTTGACCACATGATCGTGTGCCTGATCTCGCGCTCTGCCTATACCTCAACCCGGGATTTTTCGAAGCTATTGACGGGATTGCGGTCCTGATCATACTCACAGCTATATAACAGCTGCCTTTGCACGAGCACTGGTTCAGATGCAGCCTCCATGACTTGCAGATCACAAGAGGGACCATCATTTTGAGCTTCACAGCTAATTGACCCTAAACCCAGTAGCCCCTACAAGCTTTAAACCCCATAAACCCTAAACCTGCAAACCCCATAAACCCGACAAACCCCTGAACGGACCTACAAACCCCATGAACCCGTAAAAGCCTTTAAACCCTATAGAGTATAGTAGACCCCGTCACCCTATTCTAATGTTTAAGGCCCCTACATCAGATGATGGCCCCGAAGTCAGTATGATCCCAAGATCTCGTGAGCCTTTCAGGGTTTAGGGTTTCAGGGTTTTAAGGCTTTAGGGTTTAAGGCTTTAGGGTTTGGGGTTCAGGTTTAGGGCAAACACTAGGGGTTGAATCTTTTGGGGGCATTGTGCAGCCAGCGCTCCTCAGTATCAAGCTGCTAACATAGCAGCAAAAGCTTGCCGTTCTCTAGCAAGCAGAGCACCAAGTGAGCTCTGTTGGAGTTGCCCCAAGGTCCTGAGCCCCAAACCCCCAAACCCAACAACCTAAGCCAGTCCATCCCAAACCCCCGAGCCCTGACCTTCGCAGGAGGAGCTGGCTGAGTACAAAGCCTCCCTGATGCTCGGCATTTCGTTGGAGGGTCTTGGCTTAGGCTTATTTTAGGTTTTATGTACTTGCAACTCCAGTTCAGGTACCTTTAATGTGACGCACTCACTCCCCTGATCCTCCAAGTTGGCCTAGCTCCAGGCAGCGAGCCGCGAGAAGGCATCAAGCTCTATGGTTCGAAGTTTGGGTCAGAGGCTGCCTAAACTTCGGAGCATACTGTGCTCTGTCGAGCAATCAGATCCTCTAGAAGATCTGGGTAGTAGTAGTCGTACTGATTTGAAGCATATAAGGATGGAAGTTGAAGGCTTGGCAGAACCTTAAAGCTGTCAAGCCAGCACAACCTAAACCGCCGCCATACAAAAAAAAACTGCACAAACGAAAATGAAGCGGCGCACACACAGACATACACACACACACACACAGACACCCACCCACCCACCCACCCACCCACCCACCCACACACACACACACACACACACGCGCGCGCGCCAACACACGCACACACATAGACACAGACACACACACACACACACAGACACACGCACACACATAGACACAGACACACACACACATGACACACACACAGATACATACACACACGCGAGCACACACGTACACACACAGAGAGACATAGACGTATATGTATATATGTATACATGTATATATATACACACACACACAAACCCCACAACTCTAAACATGCAAGTAGTTGAGGAATCGCGCCGAAAAGGGCGAGGATGTCTCGCTTTCCCCGTGCCTGGGCTTAATAGGGTTCGTTAATCAGGGTTTTGTAGAGCTGTCTTTGGGTTGTATACGCTTCTGTATATACATCTCTACACACGAGGGGGTAATTGTAATGACCCGGCGTGTGGTCAAGGGTACATAACAAGATTCCACGATTCGGGGTTTGTGTTCGTAGACTACGGCCCCCTACTCTTCGAGTCTTCTCAACCTTCCATATTTCACTTGCGTTTTGCTTTTGCTACTGCCCTTCAATGTGTTGCTTAGTTCACTGATGTTCAAGCTTTTCTAGTCGAGTGCTGCGATAAAAGTATGATATAAGAGGAGTAGAGTTTGATAAAGGGGTCGGACCAGCCAGTAATAGCAGGAATCCCTGAGAGTCTTGATCAAACTTATAGAAGACACACCCCAAAAGGCCTATCCACAGTATGAAGGTGTAGATTCCCAGGATCCGGTGCAGGAAACAAGATCAAAGAGAGTGAACGTGGGTTAGGGTGAACCAGGAGAGCTTTTGGCCATACTTTCAACCTCATGCTTTTGGGTATCTTTCAAAGCTCAAGCCTGAATTCTAAACGCGCTCATTAAGCATTAAATCCTTCAGCGTCTACAGTCTTCAGTCTACATGTATGGCCCTGCATACCCTCAGTTCTCCATGGTTTAGAGTTTATCATGCTCAGGATCCACTTCTTGGAAGACTGGCCCCGCTGCATCATCTTCTTCCTCCGAATGTTGCAGATTCTACGGGGGCTCTGCATCTCCGTCGACGCCGAGGGCTCCGTGGCAGCAGCCGGTGTAGGACAGTTTAGTGCCAAGGGTTTCAGGAGTCTCAGTTCAGAGTGTAAGGGTTTAGGGCTGAGCGGTTGAATTAATTAAGGCTCAAATGTTCGTGGTTGGATCGAGAATCATGAGGGCCCATGATGGCCCATGTACCCCAGTAGTATACACGTTGGCCTTAAAGTACTCCCTAGAAAGGTACAGTGGGCCCAAAATATGTACTATTTGGGTACATGGACCCGTAGGGGCATCCTCAGATTTGCCCTCGTGTCCGTGATAGCGGGTCTCGTCTCTACGAGCCCTGCACTAAAGCGACTAGGAATAAGGGGGTACAAGTATTTAGGGTTTCAGGGGCGTAGGGTGTACGATTTAGCGTTTAAGGTTTTGGGTGTAGTATAGTTGGGATTATCCCAACATGTTGCGGTTAAATTTCTCGTAACGTCCTTCAATCCCCCGACCTTCAAGCAGAGTTCAAGGACGTTGCCTGCTCTAAGGCTCTACCTTAACCTACCAAACCCTACTTTTTTGTAGGGCCCCTATAAACTTCATATTAGGGTTCATAATTTAATAAGAACCTACAAAAAATAGGGTTTGGTAGGTTAAGGTAAGGAATTACAAAGTGCTCTGGGGCTCCCCCCGGGTCCCTGATGTAGGAACCTGATGAAGAACCCATGGGCCTATAACCCGAAAATAGTAGGATCCCTATTAAGGAGCCCTGATGTAAGGGCCCAAGGGATACTTAATCAGGTTTTTACATTAAACCCTAAACCCTACTATTAGAGGGTCAAGGGACTTAGTCTGCAAGGTTATAAGCAATAATTGCGTTAATTGGGAGTTATACGTAATTATATAGGTCTATAGCAACCTTATACTTTCAACCCCATAAAGTCCTATACTCACTAAGTCCCATGATCCTCCAAGTATTGCCCAGACTCCCAAACCTCGGGGCTGCTGGATTCGGGCT